GATGTGTTAATGGAAGGCTGTGCAAGTCACATGCAGGGAGGTGTGACAAGGGTTCATAAACAAAGGGATTTAACTCCTAAATGGCAGAGGATTAAGCAGTGAGGCTGCAGGGGCATGTTCTATACACCAAAACTGCTTCATTAAGCTAAAGTTCTTCAGGTGACTATAGTGTCCCTTTAAGGACACATGACATGTGTGACATGTCATGATTCCCTTTTATTCCAGAAGTTTGGTCCTTAAGGGGTTAAATGTTTCTATCATACCCCCCTGTCTCATCTTTCCTCCAAGCTATACATGTTAAGTTCCTTTAGCCTTTCCTTGTAAGTTTTATCCTGCAATCCATGAACCAGTTTAGTAGTCCTTCTCTGAACTCTGTCTAAAGTATCAATATCCTTCTGAAGATACAGTCTGCAGTACTGTGTACAATACTCCAAGTGAGGTCTCCCCAGTGTTCTGTACAATGGCATGAGCATTTCCCTCTTTCTTCTGCTAATACCTCGCCCTATACAACCACAAATTCTTACACATCAAAACAAGAACTGGAAACAAAAGAATACAGAACGAATTGAACTGAAAATGTTCGGATCCATTCGTTTTCATAAGGATAGCAAATTATCTATTTCTACTAAGCAACTGAAACCACAAGATTATGAAAAAGGGCTCTTTTTCTTAATTTTCCCCTTTCAGCTTTTTGGTAGAAAGCTAAATAATTTGGTATCCTTACGTGGGATTGCAATAATTAAGGGTACCAAATTAGAGACTTAATTTCTAGTACTCAGCAACTTGATTTGTTATCCTTTGGAATAATGTGAATAATGTGAATTATGATGTTTGATTTTTGTTTTGTTACGAATTGATAATTTCCTGAATTTCAGACGATCCAAAACATGGAATTAATTAATTAGAATATGTACTGGAACATTTTTTGGGCCCTGTAGATGTCTACTATTTACAGAAAATGAGACCAAATTAAAAGAGATTTCAGTGAATAATAAGGTTATAATAAGTTTCATTGTAAATTGTGTATTCTCACTCTGAACCAAGTATAACTGCATCATCATCAGGAAGAAGAGGAGTGTACCAACCTGAGCCTGCAAGCACGGACCACACACACAATATGATACCAGTTAATGTTGTTATAACTATGTGTTTTTATCTTGCTAAGCATTACCCTGTTCGGTCCCACCCGTTGAAACTATAACTACATAATATACTGTACTACACGCACCCCACAGAGGCAGCTTACCTGCAGTGCAGAGGTGGTTAAGTCATCCCTACAGCCCTAGGGATACAGGGGCACATCTAGCATAGGAGGCCACTCCAACCGCCCCACCGAAAACATAGAGCTATCAGCCTAAAAATGGCAACACAATGGCCCAGAAAGGCAGCACAAACCACCCAAGCTCCTACTTGAAGAGACCCAAACTCCCAAGAGCCCACTACATGACTACAACCCATTCAAGACCTAGTCTAAAACACCAAGCGCAAAACACCTAGACAGCAGCGCAATGACACCTGAAGGGACCCTGGCACAGCCCAACTATCATCCAAACATGCTACAGAATTGGCCGACTTACACGACCCCTCTATGACTCGCAGAACCAAGTCCCTATCACAACTAACTAGCACCTAAAGGCAACACCTAACCAACAAGATCCAGGCCTTCATATATTTTTGGCCACACGACCCAACACCTAGAGAGCTGCGAACCCCACATAGACGAGTGGATCCCACTCTCCCTTTTTCGAACTAGATCCATACCTCTAAACAAAAATGTGCCTCCACAAAACCCTATGTTACTTGTATTGAGTTATAAAATTGTGCGGCAAGGCTGTCGTGGCTCAACGCACTGGTTTGTCATATCCACTTGCACGAAAAATAAAGAATAATAAAAAAAAAAAAGTATAACTGCATGTATGGCTGGCTGGTACACCAGGATTCCTTTCCTCACACCCAGCATTGAATGCTGGAACTGCACTGACTGGGTAAAAATAAAAGGCTAGTGAAGGGGTCAGCAACCTATGGCACATGTGCCATGCACGGCACTCAAGGTTTCTTTGCATGGCACGCAAGGCTGCCAGAGACAAACAGGCTCTGGCCTACCAGGAGTCCCAGTGAAACTTCAGATATCTGCTTTTGAAAATTGTGCAGTGTATTGCTGGTTGTGAGGAACATTCCTTAATTTATGCATTGCAACAGATACTTTTATCCAATCACTTGTGAACGGCAGCCCGGAGCAGCTAGCTGCTATCACAGCTCCTGCCTTTAAATGGTCCCTGGCCAACCTGGTCCCCACTGGACCCCAAGGAACTCACCCACTCTGCTAGATATACACAGAGCTGCAGAATAGGCCTTCTCCTCATACAAATAATACGAACGGCCTACACACAGTCCCCACAAACAAAAAACCACTGACAATCCACATACATACCCACAACCCCACAAGCAGACTCTCACATGCAATAGCACAAGCAGCCCAATATATACACACACCAAACACACAATGTGATATGATCCACACAATTCCACAAGCAGCCCCCCTACACAGCTTACATTCTTAAGTATCATACACAACACCAAAAGCTACTCAAGAACATGTACAATATAACAGCCCCCATACACACACACAAATACAATGCTACAAAGCAACTGCAGCACCAATAAATAAAAGTACAATACAGCAACACATACATCTCAATTTAAAAAAATATGTCCGACATGACAGGGGACGTCAAGATATTGTTTTGGCACACTACTATTTAAAGTTATAGTGTTAAGAAGTGGAGCGATATCAGCACTGAGAAAAACCCCTCTCCCACATGCAATCAAGCTAATCCAAAAGTAAAAAAAATACTTATATTGCTTGCTGATTAATGTTCCAATTCAAGCTCGGCATGTGAGGAAAAAATATATAAAAATGATCATAGAACAGATCTGTGAGGATTAATTGATGTAAAGGTATCACTAAAGTATACAAATACTGAATTGAATCAGCTGGATAAAGATTTATTACAATTCTACAACAGGTAGCAATTAAAAACAAGCTATAATAGCCAATTCATAACAAAAAATAGTAAAAAAACATAAATACACATTGTGTCACTGTTTAGTTGGCATACATCAGGCAGATTTCCGCTTAATTAATACAACATAAAACCAACACTATCATTATATGTAGCAGATAACTGCTTACTAGATATGGTGGTGAGTAGAACGGTATGTATCCGTTTACTCACAGTCAGGCTTTCCCACACTGGGAAATGTCTCCTTATGTTGGAAGATTGACGGTAATCAGAGGGGTGCCTTTGGTTGTCGTCCGGATAGCGCCTAGTCCAGCTTTTGCTGTTTCAAAAACGCCCGGCGTCTGAGTAGGCTCCACCCCCTTGCTGACGTACTTTCTGTGTCTACTTCCGTGTCTACGCGTTTCTCCGTTCACAGACGGCTTCGTCAGGACGTGAAGTGCTTGATTGCTCCCCCCTCTCTCGGAGAGCTTTTAAATATCTTGTATTACAAACAATTGGTGCATTCTGTGTCATTCACATATGTGTGGCATCTTAATCATCAAGCATTAATGACTGCTTCACCTTGTTATAAAACGGTCTTTTCTCATTTGCACCAAAATGTACATTAACCAAACATTGGTACAAAACATAAAATATAAAATACATGTGCAATAATCTTCACTCAAATACCAATAAAAATTAATAAAAATTAATAAATTCCAGTTGATTCAAAACATTATAGTAATAGCCCAATCAATAAAACACAATCAATAAAACACACTTAATTTCCAGTTAAATCAACACCCGTTGATTATAGATGCCTAGTACAAAAATAAGGAGAGAAAAGAAAAAGACAGCATGTGTTATTGTTAATCCATCATAACTACAATGCAGTTCCATTTTGTATTTTAAAGTGGCACAGTAGAAATATCTTTTCTTATTATATATCATATTGTGGAAACAAAATACCATAATATGCAATGGAATTAAATAGAATGTCAAATAGACAAATTGATTCGCAACCTAATTGGATCAGAACCTGAGTGGATATCTGAACTTATACTTATTTAAAGAGATATACCTCTCCAAAATCTAAAAATATAAAAATATAAAAATATGGAAAAGTATAGAAATATAAAAATATAAAAATACTATAAAAATTATAAAAATCAAAAAAATGACAGATCTCAAAATCATTATTCATTCCTTTGGGAATGAGAGTATTCAGTTCAAATATCCATCTCATTTCTGTACGGCCTAAATTTTGGATCAAATTGCCTCCTCTCCAATTATTATTAACCTGCTGGATTCCTATAAAATTTAAAAGAGACGGGTCAGAGTTATGAAACGCCTCAAAGTGTAGGGAAACTTGGTGTAATTGATATTTTCTCTTAATGTTATATGTATGTTCACATATTCTCGTTCGTAAATGTCTAGTTGTCCGACCTATGTATCTCAAGCCACATGGGCAGAGTAACATATATATCACATTCTTTGTTTGACATGTTATAAGCTCTTTTATTTTGTATGTTTTTCCATTAGCTATGAAATCTTTAATACATTGTTTAGCACTGCCCGTATTTCGACAGGCATTACAATAACCACATCTAAAAATCCCTTTAGTTGACTAATAAAATTCGATTTAGATTGATTTTTATTCGGGATATTGTCGGTTAAAATCCTTTTCATATTTTCCACCCCTCTATGTACTATTTTTGGGATAGGCGGTAGGAATTTCGCTAAAACAGGGTCTTTTAATAACGGCACCCCTCTGATTACCGTCAATCTTCCAACATAAGGAGACATCTCCCAGTGTGGGAAAGCCTGACTGTGAGTAAACGGATACATACCGTTCTACTCACCACCATATTTAGTAAGCAGTTATCTGCTACATATAATGATATTTTTGGCTTTATGTTGTATTAATTAAGCGGAAATTTGCCTGATGTATGCATAGGCGTGCGCAGCCTATTGCATTAGGGTGTGCACCCTAAACCACAAACACACGCCGTGTGTGTGTGTGTGTATGTATCTATATATGTATATATATATATATATATATATATATATATGTATACATATATATACACACACACACACACACACACTGCTGTGTGTGCTGTTAGTGTGCTGTGTGCTGTTAGTGTGATGTGTGTGTGAGGGTGCTGTTAGTGTGATGTGAGGGTGTTTGTGTGTGTGTGTGTTTGTGACTGTGCTGTTTGTGTGTGAGGGTGTTTGTGTGTGTATGTTTGTCCTGTGAGGGTGCTGTTTGTGTGTGTGTTTGTGAGGGTGATGTTAGTGTGCTGTGTGTGAGGGTGTTGCGTTTTTTTTTTTTTTTGTGAATATAATTTTTATTTGTATTGGTTAGTCAAAATTCGAAGACTCGCAGGTCTCCAAGGCGAGTTATCAAAGGATAAGAAGGCATTTGAAATATATAAAAACAGTAACTTTTAGTCGGGCTCGCAGGCCCACAATGTTGACGGACTTGCAAGTCCCTTTTAACTTATTTTACGAGCATTTCTCTATTACAGTTCATTACATTTATTGCAGTTGTAGTTTGTGTGCGGGCTATGCAGAGGCTCGTCGGCCTCTCGTCCGACTTACTGGTCGGGGTGACCCGACTCCTTGTAAGTTTGACGTTCAATTCTCATGTGTGCCCTCTTATTGGCTTGTGTATCTACTTGGATTGGGTTTATTATCTCTTGGCTTTCCTCTGGAGGGGGGAAGGGAAAGTTAGGGTTGGGGTAGGAAGGGGTGTGAGGGTAGTCAGTCGTCGCCTGTCGTCAGGTGTGTGTTCCCTAAGTCCTTCCTGTCTGTGGTGTGGCGATTGCCGAATCTAGTTCCCTTTGGAATCCTTCTTTCGCCGTCTCTAGGATCCAATGTGTCCATATGTCTATGTAGGCTGTCGGGGAAGTGTTAGTCGTCAGGGTCAGTTCCTCTATTGTCCTCAGTTCCTCCATTTGGCTAAACCAGGTCTTAAGTGGAGGTGTTATGGCCTGTTTCCAGAATTGGGGGAGCACTCGTTTGGCTACATTGAGTATTCGAATAGTCATAGATTTTTTGTATTTGGAGTGAGGGGTAGAAGTGTGGTGTAGGAGCATTGCTGCCAGTTCCAGGGGGGGTGGTTTGTCCGTGAATTTCTCTAGCATTTTGTGGATGTTTTGCCAGTATGGTTTGATCTTTGCGCATTCCCACCATATATGTGTGATACTACCCTCCTCTTGTTGGCATCGCCAGCATAGGCCGGGTTGGTCTGGGTCTATCTGGTGTAGGAAGTGAGGTGTCCTGTACCATTGTGTCAGAAGTTTGTAGGCTGTCTCTTGTGTTTTGCTGTGCGTAGAGCAGTGGTGTGTGAGGTAACATATGGACTCCCATTCCTTATTTGTCAGCGTGCATCCGAGGGCATCCTCCCATTTCCTCATAAAAAGGGGTGTCTTGGTCGGGATGTCCGTTTGTAGCATGGTGTAAAGGAAAGATACTCCATGTGGGAGCGGGTCTGGGTGCATACAGACCACTTCCAGTGTGGTATGTTGTCTAGTGAGCGCTGAGCCCTGTGGTAGGGTATGGACGAAGTTGGTTAGCTGGGTGTATCTGAAGTGCTGCATGAAGGTCGGGTGCGTCACTGTCGTCATGTCTGTCAGTTTTTTAAATTTCTCTCCCTGTAGGACATGGTGTAGGCGTGGGTGTGGGTCTGGGAGGATGTCTTTAAAGGCTCTTGGGTCTAGTCCCGGGGGGAAGTCGACGTTGTGCGTCAGTGGTAGAAGGGGGGAGGGGTATGGTGACATGGTCCCCTTCCTCGTTATCTTCCTCCATACTTTCATGGTGTGTTTTGTGTATATGGACATTTCGCCCCATTTTGTCGGTTCACGTCCCCAGGGTAGTCCCGAGAGTGGTCTGCCTGCTTCCGCCTCTTCTACTGTCTTCCAGAGTTTGTGCACGCCGTCTTTTGACCACTCCACAATTCTCTGGAGGTGTGTGGCCACATAGTATAGGTGGAAGTCTGGGAGGGCTAACCCTCCTTTATCCTTAGGTCGTGTCAGGGTAGAGAATTTCACTCTAGGTTTCCGTCCGTTCCATACGTATCGGGTCATTTCTGTTCTAAGGGTACTGAAAAAGGGGCCCGGGATCTCAATGGGGATGGCTTGGAGGAGGTATAGGAGGCGTGGGAGGAAGTTCATTTTTATTACTTGGACTCTCCCTAGCCATGAGATGTGGGGGTACGCGTGTCTTTTTGGAACGTCTGGAGTGTGTCTGTGAAATTTTCCCTGAACATGTCCTCACTTTGGTTGGTCAGCCAGACTCCTAAATATCTAATTTTATGTTCGGCCCATTGGAAGGGGAAGCTTTGTCGGAGGGGGTTCGCCCGTGCAGTAGGGACGCTTACGTTAAGGATATAGGATTTGCCGTAGTTAATTTTCAAATTGGAGATTACCCCATATAGCTGTAGTTCCCTCTGTATGTTTGGGAGGGAGATTTCAGGGTTCGTTACCAGGAAGAGTAGGTCGTCTGCGTACGCAGCTACCTTGTGTTGCGTGTTGCCTGTTATCAGTCTGGTTATGTCTGTGTTGTGTCGGATGTGTGTGAGGAATGGTTCCAGGGCAAGGACGAACAGAAGTGGGGAGAGGGGGCAGCCTTGTCTCGTGCCGTTATGTATTGTGAAGGCGTCAGTTAACGCCCCATTGACCAGCACCTGGGCCGTGGGTTCTCGGTACAATGCCTCTATCCAGCGTCGCATTTGTGGCCCTAGTCCCACATGGGCAAGTGTTTCAAAAAGGTATGTCCAGCCGACCCTATCGAAGGCCTTCTCTGCGTCTGTTGACAGCAGGATAAGGCCCCCTTTCGTGCCTCCTTTCCCGTGCATGAGGGTAAGTGCCCTGATGGTGTTGTCTCGAGCTTCTCGGCCTGTCACGAATCCCACCTGGTCTGGGTGGATCAGTGATGGGATGTGTTGCGTGAGTCGGGTCGCCAGGATTTTGGCCAGTAGTTTAATGTCGCTATTTATAAGTGAGATCGGTCTATAGTTTCCGCATTGTTCTCTGTCTTTGCCGTCTTTGGGGATAATAGTAATGTGGGCTGTTAGGGCTTGTCTGGGGAAATGGTTCCCGTCTCGTATCGAATTGAACGCTTCTATCATGAGTGGATATAAGTCTTCAGCGTATGTCTTGTAATATTTAGTCGGTAGGCCGTCTGGGCCCGGGCTTTTTCCCGGTTTGGTTTGTTTAACCGCTAGAGCTAGCTCCTCTATTGTGATGGGTTCGTCAATGACCTCCGCTATCTCCGCGTCAAGTGTCGGTGTCTGGTATTTTGTCAAGTAGGCCCGGATAGAGTCTCTGAGGTGTGTTGTCGCCCCGTTGGTCTTCGGTTGGGGGAGCGTGTAAAGATCGGTGTAGTATGTGCGGAATGTTCTCATGATGTCTGTCGGTAGGCGGTGTAGGGTGCCCTGTTTGTCTCTAATTTTATCAATATATGTGTGTTGCCTCTGCTTTTTCAGCATCGCAGCTAGGAGTTTGCCGCTTTTGTTCCCGTGTACTGTGAAGAAGGCTTTGTGCCTAGTTGCATCTCTGTGATGTTTAGCCTGCAGTAGTGTGGCTAGTTCCCGTCTCAGTTGTAGGAGTCGGGTTTGGTGTGTGTGGTTCGGGGTTTGTTTATTTTGATTGTCTGTCTCCTGTATGTTGGTCAGCAGTGCCTGTAGTCGGGCTTCAGTCTGTTTCTTCAGTATTGCCCCCTGTTGTATGTAGTGGCCTCTTTTCACGCTTTTGTGTGCTTCCCATCGAATCGTCGGGGATGTTTGCTCTGCTGTGTTAGTTGTCAGGTAGTCCTTGATTTTCTCACCTATTAGGGTTGTGACCTCTAGTTTGGTAAGTAGGTATTCGTTCAATCTCCATTTCGAGGTCGTGGGGCGATAAAGTGGTGATTTAAGTTTAAGTGAGACTGGGGCGTGGTCTGACCATGTGGCCACTCCGATTGTTACTTCAGACACTAGGGAGAGGTCATAGTGTGTGGTGTAAATGTGGTCTATTCGGGAATAAGAGTTGTGTGGGTGGGAGTAAAAGGTGTAGTTTCTTACGTCTGGGTGGTGGGCCCTCCAGCAGTCCACGAGTCGTCGACTCCGGAGTAGGGATTTAACTGTTTGGAGTTGTTGAGTGGGGACGTGGGAGGTGCCCGATGAGTTGTCCCATGATGGGTCAAGAGTTATGTTGAAGTCGCCCCCCAGTATAAGAGTCCCTTCTGCGAATTCTTGAAGTTTGCGAAGTGTCTGTTTAAGGAAGCGGTAGTGTTGTGTGTTTGGGGCATAGATGTTTGCGAATGTGTACTGGTGTCCCGCGATCTTCCCTTTAAGGAATAAGTATCTTCCTTCGTCATCCGTTTTGCATCCCCCCTTGTGGAGAAGTATTGCTGTCCCCCTGGCCTTACCCCCTTGAAAATCGCTGTAGTAACCTTGTGTGTAGTGCTGATTAGTCAGTTTGGGTCTGTTCCCTTTTTTAAAGTGGGTTTCCTGTATCATTACTATAGAGGCCCTCTGTTTGTGAAAGTCTCTCAGTGCTCCTGATCTCTTCTCTGGTTTATTTAGACCTTTTGCATTGATTGTAAGGATGTGTAGTTAGTCTGGGGTCAGTGCCATCCCGCCAAGTCAGGTCGTTGTCTACGGGTGTTGTGAAAATGTCTTTGTCCTGCGTTCCTTTGGTGTGTGTAGTCTCAGGAGGTCTCACAGTCAGCTGTCGGTGTCGGGTTGGGGGGTCAGGTGTTGGGGTTTAGGTGAGGATCAAGGGGTTAAGGTATTGGAGTAGTCTGAGAGGTTCTCAGAGATCTCCGTGGTTTGCGCCACAGTGCGTGACGACTAGGTAGTAGCGTCGGGGAGCGTCAGAGCCCGGCACCACCTGTGGTGTCCGTGCGACGCTCACCTTTCGGGTGACGCCTCGCCTGCTGGGCAGTGGTTGGGTGTCCAGTCGCCTGGCGCGGTGTCCTAGTGGTGTATCTCGTCTCGTGGCTTCCCTATGTGGCTCCTCAGTGATTACTCCCTAGGAGTACGCGTGTGGTTCCCCGCCTTGGGGTGTGGTAGTTCTGGGGCTTGCGTGTATGAGTGTTTATGCACGTGGTCTTTTTGTTTGTGATTGGGTTGC